ACTGCAAAAAAAAAAAAAAAAAAAAAAAAAAAAAGAATCAAATTATAATTTCATTCATTTAGTTAATAAAATAGCACTGAAACCGACTTGGCATTCGTTATGTCATTTTTGGAGTATCTACTTGATTCTAGAAACTGAGAAAATATTATTAGAACTTTAAATGTTCCACGAGGAACCAGAAAAGCCACTGGATAACTGTAGGCAAGATGTTTTGCATAACATAAAAATTAATCAAAATGTAATTAACAAACAGTGGCTTTTATGAGTCCTACAGATTAAGTTTTTTGTGCTTTGTGCCAACACCAGCTCAAATCTTGATTTTTGGAATAGTCCCCTTTGCAGTTAATCCTCTGCCATATTGAATATACTACTGTAACTGTTGTATATTGCAAATTAAGTGATATCTGGGTATTTATATGGCTGCTGCATATTGTTTATCTAATTCCTGTCTCTACATAAGATTTGTCATAGCATAAGCTGCATGACCACAATATTAGTGACAATAACAAGTATAGCTGTCTCTAATATAACATATTTAAAAAACATTTACAATAGAAAAAAGAAAGTTGCTATTAAGTATAGTATGTAGTTTTTAATAAATATATACAGTATATGCTTAAACAGTAGCTGGTATTTATATACAGTATGTAATATTATTATTAAATTTAATTCAGGGACAACATCCCTGTACTAGAGATGGATCTAGTAAGAACATCCAAATACAGTAAAGTCAATATTTTTTGACAAGAATGTAATCTATCATTGCCACTGTCCACAAATGCATGAAAAACCTCATAAATTAGTGTTGTTTTACCCATAAAATGTCTCTAAATTGTTTGTGCTTCCAAAAATAACTTTCATGTGGCAAAATGGCTAAGCGTGTTTACTGGCAAGATTATGAAAACTGCAAAGGAATATAGACTGAGATAAACATCAATATTTTTTGACAAAACAGTAGATGTTATGACACATAACAGTGTTTTTTTGTCTTGGTCTTCGCTATTAACATCCACAGTTATAGTTGGACATAATTGCTGGGATACCTGTGGTATACCAGCTATAAAATGCCTTTGTTTTTTTTTTCTCCGCGACAAAATGACAAAGTTGTGCAATAGTTACCCAGGGGTCTTCAGGAACTTACCCAAGAGACCTTTGCGGGCATCTGCTATAGGGTTCTTGTCTATAGTCTAATTAATTATCATGTACCAGATGTCAATCAATGCCAATATGTTGTCAAGTGACTATGAGAGGGCGGAGTTAGCAGATCACGTGGCACAGGCACGCCATAATTCAAGACAGCCCAACTACAAATATTTATTTATTAATTTTGTAAAGGATTTCAAGCCAAGAAGATAGCGTGATAATTTCGAAGCGATTATTTCTAAGAATTTTCAATGAACTTCATGAGCAATAGCTTGTATTGGTTTATCTATTCATGATTCATCTACTCTATCAGTATTTTCTGCATGAGCAAGCAAAGATCGATGAGGAGAACAGGGTCACAAGCGACAGAATTATGATAAGCGATCTAGTAAACAAATATTYCACTCAGTATGACTCATAATTCTTTTGAACTTGACAATATACTGTAGTCTTATGTATATAGCCTATTTTTATGTATTTATAATATGAACTGTTTTGGCTTCAAACATTAGGAACATTATGTACATAGCAATATTTATTTTAAGTTTCTATTTGATTTAAGAAGCAAAATAAATTATTTTTTACGCACATTCCAGCTTTTGATCTTTGCCGTTCGAAGCATATATGATCTCCTTTAATTTTTYTTCAAAAAAAAAAAAGCGATTCATTAAAAAAATATAGACAAATTATTAAGTGTAAAGCAATTATGAGAGAGGTTTTGAGCAAATATTAGCCTGTATTTACGTTTTAAATGAAGCATTTTGATTTTAATTAAAGCGAGTTGTGTGAATGTGCATGCTTTTGAGAGGCAACAAGCTAATTACGTATGCCAAAATCTGGATCCCGGAACTGGAATTGGAGTTCCAGATTGAGTTTTTTGATGAGTATGGCATAAAAGCTCTGCCTGCAAATGGGTCTTAACCCTGTCGTTCGAAATTTTGCAACTTATTTTTACTTCTCCTTTAGATTCTTTGAGACTCTGATACTAGTAAACTGTCCCAACCAGGGTCTGCTTTATCATTACTTTGAGACGTCACAATACTTTATCAGTATTTTTGGAAGCTCAACCAACCAAATCCTCCATACATGTTGAAACCAGGTCCTCCAGGTATCCAGGTATCCCAGCTTACCCTAGCCTGCTGTGCAAACGTTTTTAGTGTCGGCTTGTTCCTTTCGATCCCTCCCCACAAACGTCTGCTCAAACTAGGCACACATTCCTTTCCCTTAGATTGACCAATCAGAGCACACCTCCCGAAATGCTGGAAGCTGACCTTCACCTTGGCTTACTTTGATATTGATGAAGCCTTTGGAAATGTCTGTGAAATTTAGATAAGCAATCCTAATTCGTATCAGAAAGAATCCTTAAGGTGCTTCGTCTCTGAAAAACGAGACGTTTTYRTAAATCTTCTAACAGGAACTGGAAAACTGATGATTTACTGTTTGAATCATAAAGACTGAGCTTGATGTCCAGTATTTTTTTGATAGGTTCTTTGATGTCRACGGTAGATTTGTCAAATATTCTTATCTTTTCATTTACAACTCCCTCACATGCTCACACGAACATAAAAAGCGGTTAGATTCAGCTCCTACAACTTTATTATGAGTCCTATCCATATAGGAATATATTTATAATATCCATATTTTATACGAGGATTTACGAACTTTGGACGATACGCTTTCACAGGAATTTGAATGTGGGCAGTTGTTTACATTATTTGTTGGCGTTTCTATTGGTCCGATTAAACAAAGGGAAAGGAATGTGTGGCTAGTTTGAGCAGACATTTGTGGGGAGGGAAAGGAACGAGCCGACACTAAAAACGTCTGCACAGCAGGCTAAGCTTACCCTGGAACCAGGGTCTTGTTTGACTAATTGACTAGCTCGCTTGAACAGATAATCAAACAGTCTATTGAACAAAATGTCAAATAAAACATATTGTAGGTGATACCTGCTGAACATATATATAATTATACATATATTATAAATTGTATTATACATTTTTACATATATCTTCTATTGTATCATAGACATTAACTATTGCACAAAGTAAAGTTAAAAGAGGTATATCTGTATAAATGTACAAATGTATACTACAACCTTTCTGCAATCAAGCGTATACATATATACATATATATATATACATATATATCAGGAGAATTAGGAAAGCAAAGGCAGGCGCAAAAAAAAAAATGCTTTAGTGCATTTTTTATCAATTTTGAACTCTTTTGTATTACAGGGTGCATTCCTATCTTGACCCTAAATCAAAAAAAATAAATTATTCAATTGTTCTGATTTTACTTTTACCATTCACTTTTATCTAAATTGGGCTCCCTGTGCTCTATGCTTTCTAAATTTTCTACGTTTTACCCTAGGTATCCCATAATTCCCGGAGTAGTCAATCRATAAATAGAGATTATCACATGTTAAGAACTTGATATCATTTTTATTCACAAGTTTTTCCGTATCATATCGCGAACGAGYGAGTCCTCGAGCGAGTGAGCGATATGATACGGAAAAACGAGTGAATAAAAACGATATCAAGTTCTTAACATGTAATAATTTGTTTATTACACATTTAGGCTCGATATATAACACACACAAAATGTTTTATTGTCTTAAATATCCTTAACCGACTTACACCATTTCAAAATGTTAAAGAAWTATACGTTTCCAATTCAAAATCATTCAAGATATTAAAGCTTAATTAAAAATGYAAGAAGCACAAAATTCATCTTGAATTTGATAGAAATAAACACTAAATAGAGATTTATGTGATAATGTGATTGGTTCAAGTAAAATATATCGCAAGATTTGATTGGACAGTTTACCGTGAAGTGATATTGTATCACTTCACTGATATGGTTTTTATTCACGGCTTTATTTCACGGATATCGAGCTTAAATGTGTAATAAAAATTAATATCGATTTTGCCAATCGATAAATCGATAACAATCGACACCGCTGATTTGATTGATATSGATTGTATCGATCAATCGTTAAAAATCGAACTAACACTAAATTTTTGTATCGATTTTTATCGATTGATTGATTATATACCTATTGATTTTTTTCGATTTATGTCTTGAACAATTTCTATCTATGATCGTACAAGGGCCGTGTGGCTACGGATTTACACCACCGGCAATTACTCTTTCGTAACCATAGCTTGACACTAACTAGGAGTTTGTTATAGTGATCAGTGAACAGACAGCAAAAGTACTTGGATAATTAGCTGCCTGATCTACATATTATTACTTGTGAATTAATAGTTATAAAATCTATTGCACTATCATCGATATTTTCGAATACTTTCCGTGAAATAAAGCTGATTATATGATTGTACTCATTATTGGATCGAATTAAAGCTGTCAAATCTTGATCGATAAAAATCGATTAAATCGATAAAAATCGAACTCACACCAATTTTTTTTAATCGATTTTAAACGATTTCCCATAAAAATCGATACAAATCAGCTGATTTCTATCGATTTTTATCGATATCGATTTTTATCGATTGACTACTCCGGGCATAATTAAAGATGGCCGCCGTATCAGTAAAAAGGTCGCTATTCAAATTGTATCAAATTCATCATTTTCTTTCTCGTAGCATTCTACCTTTGTTTAGAAAGTATAATACATAAACTCGTTTCTAATCTTAATGCCAATTTTTTGTCTTGCTGCTGAAAAATGAAAGAAACAAATTCTCATGGCGCTAAATATAAGCTTAGCTGGAAAAGATAACTGAATAAAATTTCTCACGACTTTAAATACTTTGTTCTTACCTTGAAGTCCTCTTCATTATCCAGTTAACATTTGACGAAGTAAACGACTTTTGGCCATGAAAA